CTGTTTTTGGGTGCTCTTTTCTCATTGGTCAATTTGACCATTCTTGTGCCAGTATCACATTATTTTAATTACTATAATTTTATAATAGATCTTGGTATCTGATAAGATAAAACCCTCCAGCTTTATTTTCCTTCAAGATTGCTCTGGCTATTCTTGGTAGGTTGTATTTCTGAATAAATTTTAGAATCAGCTGTCAACTTCCAAGCCAGTCAGAGAAAGACAAATACCATATGATTTCACTCATACATGGAATCTAATGAACAAACTGAACTAGCAAGTGAAATAGAGACAGACTTATAGATGGAAAGCAGGGTGATAGCTCTGGGAGAGGTGGCTGTGTTAGGGGTGGAGGGGTTGAGCAAAAGGAAAAAGGACTCATGGACACGGACAACAGTGTTGTGATTGTAGGCATTAGGGGATGGGTGGACGTGGAAGAGAGTATATGGGGCATAAATGGTAATGGAAAAAATGCCATAAAAAATAAATAAATAGAGGGGGACAGTTAGGGGACGGAGGGATAGAGCAAAAAGGAAGGACTCATGGACATGGACAACAGTGTGAGCTTTTCCACTTTGGTGATTCCAGTGTGGTGACTGCAGGAGTGGAGGGTATAAGGGAGTTAAATGGTAATGGAAAAATACAATCAAAATTTTAAAAATACAAATAAATAAGTAAATAAAACCTACTGAGGTTTTGATTGGGCTTGCTTTGAATCTACAGATTAATCTGAGGAGACTTGACATCTTTATGACACAACAGTGATCGTCAAACCCAGGAACATTTTTATTGCGTCCCTTCTCAATGAGTCAGGCAGCTTCCCATCTCTTTCTGTACCTTGAGGTACAAATATCCAACAAAGGACTTACATCTAGCATATAAAGAACTCCCTCAAATCAGTAAGAAAAAGAGATAGCCCAGCAGAGAAATAAAACAAAACAAAAACAAAAACAATAATTTGAATTGGCTTCACAAAAGTGGCTATATGATGGGTTCATAAGCATATAAACAGACTCAATTCCCTTACTTGTACACACCCACCACAATGATAAAAAGAAAGGGTGATGTTATCAAGTGTTGGTGGAAATGTAGAGCAAATGGATTTCTCAAACACTGCTGGCAGGAGTGTAAAACTAGTACAACTATATGGAATAATATTTGGGAGTATCTACAAAAGGTGAACTATGTGTTTCCTATGACTCAGCATTTCCAATTCTAAGCATACGAGGTCTGTCTGGAAAAAGTCCAGTTGTTAATATAACAAAAACAATTTGCATGACATCATGTAACCTGGCAGCCAAGGAGAGTGGACTGGAATGCATATGTGTGAACGATGACGACTTTACTCCACTCCACTACTCAGTGGGGGTGGTAGATACCATTGAGTGAGCATGTGTACTGTGTGGCCATGGCATTCAAAATGGCTGAGCAAGTAGAGCAATGAATCTCCATCAAATTTTGCGTGAAGCTTGAACGGTCCTCCACGGAAACTATTCGGATGATTCAGACGGCCACACAGCCTTGGGCAACTGATGTTTGGCAGCTTCATCACAACAATGCACCTGCTCATGTATCATGTCTCGTGCAGAGTTTTTTTTTGTTAAATATCAAACAGCCCAGGTGATTCAGCCCCCTGCAGGTCACACTTGGTGTCCTGCGACCTCTGGCTTTTCTCAAAACTAAAATCACCTTTTAAGGGGAAGAGATTTCAGACTGTAGATGAGATTCAGAAAAATAAGATGGGGCAGCTGATGGCAACTGGGAGAACTGTGTGAGGTCCCAAGGTGCCTACCTTGAAGGCGACTGAGAAATCATTTGTCCTATGTACAATGTTTCTTGTATTTTGTATCTTCTTCAATAATCATCTCTATTTTGTATATTGCATGGCTGGACACCTTCTGGAGAGACCTTGTATACCCAAAGGAGATATGTTCAACAAAACACATATACTAAAAGGTTCACAATAGCACTACTTATAATAGTCTCAAACGCAACTACCAAAAGACCATCAACAGTAGAATGGATTTTAAAAAACTGACATATTTACATGAAATATTATAAAGAAATAAAAATGCTCATATGACAATACAGACGAATCTAACAAGCAAACAAAACCAGAAAGAAAAAATATCACACACAAAAAGGGCATATACAAATGCAATTTCACAGTGTGTACACTATAAAAATAGAGAAAACTAATCTAAGTTATTATAAATCTGAATAGTGGTTATCCTTGGGGGTGGGAAGAAGTGGCTGACAGCAAGAGAAAGCTTCTAGTCCACTGGTGATGTTCAGTTTCTTGATCTGGGTGCTTGTTATATAGGTGTGATCACATGTGAAAATTCATCAACATTTACAATCTGTGTATTTTTCTTATGAATATTATGCTGCCATAAAATTAATGCATTCATATGAAAATAAACCAAATAGCAAGCTGAAAATTTTTTCTATATGTAACATCTGAAGAACTCATGCAAATCAATTTTTAAGAAGCCAGCATCCAAATGAAAAATGGTTCTAAACACAAAAAGAAATGTTCAAGCAAAGAAATAAAAATGGCTCCAACAAATGCACAAAATGTAAATTAGAACAATGGAATGCTATTTTTTCCTTGCAAATTAGCAAAGATTAAAGGAAACTAATAAAGCTTTTGATAAGGATTTGGTGAAACTAATATGCTTATTCCTAATGGAAACTTAAATCAATAACATTCCTGCATTGTCTTTAAAAATTGCTCCTTTTCACTTGTTTCCCTTCTAGAAATTATTCTAAGAAAAATTCATAGTTACAATTAAAGATGGACTTATGTCAGCACTGATTACAATCAGTATTTTGAAACAATATAATTATCCCATAATGGGAAAATAGGTACATTATGATGTAATAAATGATGTTTTCAAAGGATAATGCACAAGACAAGACTCATAATAAATTTAAGTAAAAAAAATACATACAAAATTCTATGATTTTTTTTGTGTTAGAAAATATCACACACTTAAACATACACTTGCGTGGAAAAACAGTCTGTAAGAACACCTACTATAATGTTCATAATGGCCATCTTTGGATGATAGGATAATGGATGATTTTAATTTTGTGGCCTACTTTCTACAATGACATGTACCTTGAACACATTATTATTACATTCAGAAATCTAAGAAAATAGAGTAAAAAAAATAACATCCACCCAGTTTTTTTTTTTCTAGAAATCTAAGCAGCCTAGATTTTTATCTATCCTTTAGTTCTCAGATTCAATGTGTAACTGTTTCAATTTTACCTTAGAAGAAGAGGTAAAATCTGTCCAAGCCATTACAATATTCCATTATTTCTTCTCTCATTTCCAAAATTCAGGCTCTTGTCTTCCCCTATAGAGAGCACTTCAAATCCAGACTCTTCATTTTGGAAATTTTGCTCTCTCTTCCACTGCTTCTACATTCTAGCCACATCAAACCGCTTTATGTAGCCACCAACCCACATTCACGCCCCGGAAAAAGCCACATCAGGTACTTTCACACCCCCCAACCTTGGCATATTCTGTTTTCTCTCCACTTACTGCATTTTCTACCTTTAGTCTTTTTAACCCGATTCACAGTTCAAGATTCACTCCGATAGCATTTACTGGGCGTAGGTACCTTCTCTGAGGCTACAAGACAGATAGAGGTTTCCAAATCAATCCTCCAATGACAGTTTGTACATATTTCAATATTTATCATTCTATATTGTTTAACTAAGCCCAGCTCACCCATTGTAGAGAATGGGCCATATCTTTTAAAAATTTTCTTAAAATCTAGTTGAACGTGTGAAGGTAAAACATACATATAAACAATTTATCTATGTAGGGGTGGTGAGTTTTCACCTGTGTCTGATAAATAAATGGCAACCAAAAGACTCTCCTGTTTGGGTTTTTTTGTTGTTTTTTGGTTTTTTTCCTTTCAAGATGGCAGAGAACGTCTTAAAATAGCCCCACACAAAAGGACTCACACCAGGAGCCTTAAGCCAGATCTGGCTACACTTAGCGCAACAGCAAAGGACAATAGAATTTAACCTAGATGCTCAGATGTCCCAGCCCTAATCACTAACAGTAGTTCCCACACACTTATTTTAAACCGTGTTAGCAAACTGGCACCTGCTGCCTTCATTTTGAGGGCCACGCCTCGACCAGGATCAGAAACCTAAAGCACTTCTGGATAAAGACCCAAAGAATCAAGGACGCAAAAGGAGACTAATTTGTATTGGTGAGCATCCAAAATGCACATTTGGGCCCCGCCCTAGCCAGGGGCAGTCCCCCTGAGGCGTACCCATCTCCGCGGAAGGAACAGGAAGGCAGGGCTTTCGTCCACCGGACCGAATGGGAATTCTGGGCCGGCCTGAGGCTGAGGCTGAGGCTGAAGCCCGCTGCGGAGAGGGAGTCTCGTGCTACACCTGTCAGGCTGCAGCCAACACTAGGCCCAGAAATCGCCGAGATTCGGTGACTGAAGGCGGCAAGAGCGTCACCCGATCCCTCACCCCGGGATCCGTCCCTCGCTTGCCTCCTCGCCCTCGCCCTCATCCTTCTCAAACAAAGGCAATCCATATCCACCGCCATTTTCCCCTTACCTCAAAAACCACCTCTTCGTCAAACTCCGGTGTCATCCTTCTCCGCCATGCCACCCGCCTCAGCACGATGGGAAATGAAGGCGGGGGAACTGGCGGCACCCAAGGCGTCCGCTTCACCGGTCCCGAGTGTCCAGAAAACTACAGTTCCCAGCATGCCTCGCGGCTCACACCCCCTTTTCAGACCCACTTATTGGAGCAGAGGATGGTCCTGCAGAACGGAGAGGCAGGAATGAAATAAAACTCGAGCCCTCTGATTGGAGGAGGCTGGAGCTTTTGTCTGCCTTTTACGGCTGCAACTGCCAGGGGGCGCCTGGAGCACTGATTTTTTTTTTTTTTTTTTTTTTTTTTTTTTTAAAGGGAGCTCGAGAAGTGTACGCGCCGGCGGAGGCGCGGTGAGCACTGCTCGTGCCCGCCGCCTGTGGCTCGCGCCCGGGAGCTCCGCCGGGTCCCGGGAGCCCTCAGCGTCCCAGGAGCCCGCTGCATCCTTTGTGCGGCGCTTGGGTTGCGCCGCGGAGCAGCAGAACAAAATGTGGGCGTAGCGGGAGCTTTTCTTTTCTGCCTAAAACTCTTGAAACAATGGACTCTAAGGGGAGCATGGATTGAGAGGGGCGAGCGGGGAAACGAGCTGCCGAAGGGAATCATGACTTCTGCTGCCGGTGAGTGACGGCGCTTGCTCTGCCGCTGGAAAGTTTGTAGCGAGCGCTGCTAGTCTTGGGTTCTGGAGCAACTTTCTCCTTTGGGTAGATTAGCGGTGTTCCTTTTTTTTTGCGAGGACTGTGGCAAGTGCGAAGCAGACGGCATTTGCTGCCGCCTTTCCTCGTCCCTTCCTGCCAAGAAAAGCTGTTTGGAAATCGTGTGTCTCCTGGGACCTGCCTTTAAAAGGAGACCCGTGTCGGGGGCTCTGCGCCAGGTGAAACGCGAAATGTAAAGAGGGCATTTGCTTGTCTCCTAAAATTTGAGCGACTTTGCCTTTTCGTGAGAAAATAGTTTAGATGACCATGTTAAGAAATCAGTTATTCTAAGAAAGGGTAGTGTTCCCAGAGTGTTGAACTCGGCGACTGTGCTGAGTCGCTTTAACCTACTATCTACTAAGTTTAAAACCCTGACCTTTAGTACTTACTAAAGGAGTTTCAACATTGTTACTCCTATCCTGGTTTTTTCCTCCCCACTACCAGAGAAGGAGGATAGAATTGCCGATGCTGATTTTTTGCTCATCTCCACCCAGGTTTTTAATGGATTTTTTTCCCTATATCTACCTGGTTAGTGTAAACAAAGCCTTATTTTCTGTCTGCCATCGACAGTACTTTCCCTTCATACAAATGACAAAGTGTTTACCTTTGTGCGGATTTTGAGCAATTCTGTATATTGTATTTCTCATCATTCTTAAAGAACGGTTCTTATATTCCAAAATAATTACTAAAGTGGTTTTAAATTTACTTTATGGGAACATAGATTAATTTTTAAACCGCGACGTAATGTATTAAGTATTAGGGTTTTTAATCTGTTTCATCCACGAAACAAACTTTCATTTGAAATTTTATAGTAAAATAGTGTAAAGTTTTTCCTCAAAGTTACTCCTGGAGTCACCACTTAAGTATCAGATTAAATTTTCTTTGCTTTTCTTGGCATTTGTTTTAAATTCCTGTAATTTGAAACTGTCAATAGCACTCTAAATATTCTAAATTGTTTTATTTCTAAAGCCTAGATATATTGAAGGGTTGCATTGCTAGGTGTAATCAGATTACAGATAACTAGGCAAGAAGTTAGCCAATAGTAATAAGAAAGCAAAGAGTGAAGTATGTGTGTAGTGGTATTCCTGAAGAAATTGTGGATCTTTCCTCTCTGATATTACATGTATGTGTAGGCGATGTCACCATATGTTATTTATAAACTCTTTTTCCTTACCAAAGGGAGGCTTTCTATTTGGGGTGAATTATTTTCATCTTAAATTTCTGTGCCTCACTTTTGTTCAAGTTTTCTTTATTATCGAGCTAGTCAAATTAATATAAATTTAAAGTGGTTGAATTTTAAATACTTTCAGCCAATTTTAGCTCTCCCTTCTTTTGGAGTGTCAAGCACATTTAAAATTCTTATATCTTATATGCATCCGTTTTCAATTCCAGTCCTAACATTTTATAATGAACAGTTACAGAAGCATTTGATTTGACATTTAAATTTGAAACCTGATCTAGGGATCAGTCGGGAAGTTTGATTTTTGATTTGCATTACCCTAGAATAATGCAAGCAGTTTTTATATTTTATCAACTTTACAATTAAAGAAATCCACAGACATTTTTGTGGTATTTTAAAAGAGGGACACTTCCTGTGTTTAGCTGAGTTAGTTGGTTTTTAGCATTGCTTGCTGAGAAGCATTAACTACTTTTTTGTTCACCATCTGTTAAGATTTACTTTAGTTCTTTCTCATGTCTAAGTGGAAATATGGAAGAGAATTGGGTTTTATTTCCATCCCATTCATATAAAATTATATGTTCATCATTCTTACAAGCTGTTTATGGTTTTTGAAACTAATCAAATTTATTAAAACTTTAGGAAAGTTACTTGCAATTGGGGAATTGTTTATATCAAATCTAATCTGTGGTATTGATATTTGGGATGGTTGGCTTAATTTAAAGAAATAAGAGAAATGTTGTAGAACATCTATATTTTAAGTATCCTGAAGAAGAGCTGGCTTTGTTTTTCTGCATCTGTTAAAAAGGAGGCCTGTAGTAGAGATTTTAGAATTATTCTAATCAGTATATTTAAAAGGAGAGGTATGTCTTCTGTCCTTTTGAACTGCACAGGTCACTGTCTCACTACTGCCTGTGCTTTCCTATGTGACTGGTTCAAAAGCTAAAAAAGTGTGCACGTGAACCGCAGCCATCTGCGTGTAACAGATGACAGTGTGTTTGTAATACATTAGTGAAATGGTACTAGTGCTTTACTTTCTTACCTTACTTTTCCCTTGAGCCAAACAGCTGTGTAAATAAAAGATTTGCTGCTTTGCTCTAAAAAGCATTGGGTCTGACTGTTGATACAGTATTAAGATCCGAAGGTGCTGTATTCATTTCCAAACATCATGTACTTATTTCAAGAGTTTGACATTGGAGCAGACTGTAATATAATGCCCTGTTATTTTTTGAGTTGTGTTTCTTTCATTCTAGAGCCACAAAAAAATAATGACAGTAATAATGAAGGATTTTGGATATTTCTCTACCAGCGACTTAGTTTAATACTTGTTCCTACTATTAAGAACTTAGTCAATAATCCTATTGAAGTTGATTCCTGCTGCTTTTCAAAATATTATGGATATGAACTTTTAAAAAAAAAGAAATTTCTTGTTACTGAGACATATTAAAGTGTATGTGTATGTGGCAGTTCTCACCATTCCCAGGGACCTATTTTCACACTTGGGGACATTACAATGAGACAAAGTGCCTGCCCTTCTGGAGCTTGCTTTCTAGTGGTGGAGACCAAGTTACAATGAAGAAAAATCATACAGGGCAAAGGGCTGGAGGCTATAAGGACTCCCCTGAAGCAAGTATCTCAGAAGTTATAATCTCAGAATCACATAGGCTTTACAGTTCTGTTCAACTCCCTCATTTACAAGTAAGGAAAGTCAAGCAGCTAGATCTGCCAAAAGGACAAATGATTAGGCTAGCTAGTTCCTTAAGTTATATCATTGGCTTCCCCCAACACATGGTTAACTAACAACAGTGAGCCAAAATTCACAGCTATTTATTTATTCAGTAAGTGTGCATTGAGGGCATTAGGTCCATAATGCTGGGCTGCATTTGTTGGGAATCAGCCACAGCTCATATGTAATTAATTTAACTTCTAGGACACTAAAGAGAACAGGGATTTATGTCTGTTCAAAGCAGACTTATGCATAAAACACATTTAAAGAAAAGAGTAAAATTGGTACCAGAGATTAAAAATTTAACCAAAAAGAAAAAGTTGACTGGTTAAATGACCTGGAAGCTTCTGACAGAGCTGCAAGATTCAGAAAGTAAAAGGTTAATTTGATGAGATGAGATTTTTTAAAACTTTGTGGTAAAATACACATAATATAAATTTATTAACTTTATCATTTTTAAGTGTCAGTTCGGTAATGTTAAGTACATTCACATTGCTTTGCAGTCCGTCTCCAGAACCCTTTTCATCTTGCAAAATCGATTTTTTTATTATTATTATTCCTTCAAAAATCTCAGAGGTGTAGGATGTTTTAAGAATGGTTACAGAAATGCCCTGGCCAGTGTGGCTTAGTTGGGTGGTGTCCCCCAAAACGGAGGGTCGCAGGTTTGATTCCCTTTTGGGTCATGTTCCTAGGTTTCGCGTTCTGGTTCTCTGGTCAGGACTCGACTGATAAAAGTTTCTCACATCGATATTTCTCTCCCTCTCTTTCTCCCTCTTTTCCCCTCTCTCTGAAATGTCACGCCCTTCCTTTCTCTCGAAAAGCAATGGAAAAAAATGTCCTAGGGTGAAGATTAAAAAAAATTTTTTTTTTAAAGAATGGTTACAGAAATGAAATTAACATGACAACTTCCTGTCAATTTTCATTACCTTGGGTAAGATGAGAAGTTGGGAAGAGGCCTAGGGCATTCATGCTCTCTTTTACGAATTGACTTTATAGATCAAGAGTTGAATTGAAGGGATTATTATACCAAGCTTTAGCTTTAGGCTTCAAAGGGTTTTACATTTTTTTCTGCTTAAACAAACAAACAAACAAACAAACTAACAAACTGATAACATGCTTATTGAATAGATAACCGAATTGTAAAAGACTTTGGAAATTTGTGTTATTTTGAAAATATTTTATTATTTTCTTTATTTAGCACATTATATTGAGTGAGAAGTCATCTCTTACCATATGATTTTGATTAAACATATAATATTAGAGGTTTGGGAAATTCTTCCTTGGTTAGTAAAAGGAAGTAGAGCACCATACTCTTTTGTATTTTTTTTAAAACTCTGTTCCATGTAATATCTTCCCAAGTGTTGTGACTAATTTCCTTTGCTGAAAAGAAATTCATTACCAAATGAAGTATCTCAGCCTTTGTGCATTCAAGTATTTAAATAACATCCAGAAGAGTATTTTGAAATGTTTATTTTTATTTTTAAGTCAAGTTTTTTATATTAAGCATTAGATCATGTTGGAGAAACAAATATAAGAAGTGTAAGATCAAATATTTTATCTCAAATTTCATTGGGGAAGTATGACTGGGTGATAAGCAACAATATAGGTGGAAAACCTTTAAAGAAACTAAAAAAATCCTGGTGTTCAGGCAGTGTATATCTTTCTATTTTATAGGTCTTTTGTGTGAAGCTTTTATTAGGTTTCTAGGTTAAGAGAAGATCTGTACGACTCTAACACAGTATAATAGGTGCTTATTAACTACTTTTTATATAACGTTGAGGAAGACTAGAAATTGCGGTCATCTTTTAAATATACTAATGAAGGTTACGCAACATAATCATCTGTGGAACCTAAAAGAAATACAGATGTCCAGACTCTATTCCTAGAAACTCATCAGTTAGACCTAGGGTTGAGCTCCATGAAGGATTACAGTGAAAATTACCCATTGACAACCCTCACACAGAGAAATCAATTTTATTATGAGCCTCAGTTAAAGAAGAAGAAATACTTTTTACTTTTAAATTTCCAGTTTCTGTATTTCGTTTTAAGATTGTTTTGGGGTTTTAGTGACATAGAATATTGATAAAGGCATTTGTATACCTCTACTGTGCATCACTGAGCTAGAAGAATACTGCTTATTCACATGAAAAGTTTAAAGAGTTGTGCCCATGATCCAAATAGCACTATCCTGATTGGTCAGAATAAAGCCACTCTGATCAGTTGGTGAAAATGAAAACGAGGTTGCAGTAGCACAGCTCTGAATGCACAAGGAAAGTCAATACTATTGGTTAAAATAAATATAAGGCTGACTTTGCCAGCAGCCAGGCATTCCAGTGCAGACTTCTTTCTCCCTAAAGTACAACTTGTGGGAGAGGCCCCTGTTTTTAAATTTGAGCCTAATTAGCCACCAGGAGCCCTTCTCAACAGGTACGTTCATTCTCAGGCTTGACACATTAAATTTGACTATAGCTGCCCGATCGATTGTTCTTCAGGATTGCTGTACCAGTCACGTTACCTCGAGTGCTGGATTATGTTCTTATATCACCACATTTCCTTCAACATTTGGCATTATCCAGCTTTTTAACTCACCCAGTCTAATGTGTATAAAGTGAGATCTTGTTATTATTTCATTTTGCATTTTCTCTGATTATTGATGAATTCAAGCATCTCTTCAAAGAGCTTGTTAGCTTTAGAGTTTTCTCCTCTATAAGTTACTATTCATATACTTTCACCATTTTTCTGCTGGTTGACATTTTCTCCTGGTTGATAGGCAGGAATTCATTACATATTATAGAAAGAATAATCCCTGGTTGTTTCATATATTGCAAATATCTTCTGTTCTATTATTTAGTAACTTTGTTCATGGTTTCTTTGAACAGAAATCTTTTATTTCAATAAAATTATTCTACTTGTTGCTGCCATTAAAGAAAAAGAGCTATGTCCTACCAATAACTTAGGCAAATTCAATTCTTAGCACTTAACAAGTGAACTGAAGTACTTTCTCCTACTATTCAAGTCCTAAGCAGAAGTGAATTATTTCATTTAGTTCACTTGTTGTCTGAAGATATGGTTATCTGTTCCAAAGTTAGAAGAAAAACCATATTGGACTTTTTAAGAAATATACCCTAGAATTGAAGGGCAATTTAAGGAATTTTCAAGACTAATATTGATTCTATATAATATAACATAATCTACCTAGTAAAAGGCACATTCACCATATTATCAAAAGTAAAAGTTATCAAATATAATCATTTATCATTTGGTGCTTTTTTTCACCAATTTTTTTTTTCTTTTTAGAGATAAAGAAGCCACCAGTGGCCCCCAAGCCAAAGTTTGTGGTGGCTAATAATAAGCCAACTCCACCTCCTGTTGCACCCAAACCTGACGTTGTGATTTCTAGTGTTCCACAGTCAATAAAGAAAACAAAACCAGCAATAGCCCCGAAACCAAAAGTTCTGAAGAACTCACCTCTTTGTGATATCGGGCAGTCACCATCAAGGAAAATCACCGTGAACCTGGAAGAACATAAAAAGAGATTACCCAAAAGCACTGACAACTCTACTTGCAAAAATGTAGGGCACCAGAGCAGTGGTTGTACTTTACCAATGTGTTCCTGCAGTCCTGAGTGTATCCATAAGCTTGGGAACAGAGATAATTTGTGTGTAAAGAAGCTTGTCTTAGAACCCCTAGAAATGCCTGAACATTTAGAAAATAGTAAAATTGATGAGTTCTCTTCAGCTATAAAAACAAGGAGTAAAAGTGATTCTAATGGTGAAACGGTCAAGAACCGGAGTGCAGTTGTTTTAAAGGCAAACAGCCTAGAAGAGAAGCTTAAAGATGTTTTAATACAACGAACATCACCTTTTATTTCCCCCCAGAAGCACAGATCCACAGACAGCCCGGAAATGAATGAGAGCTTTTATTCCAACAGACAGTTCAGAATTAAATTTGCAGACTCGTCACCTTCCTTGTCCAGCTTTGAGAAAGTTCCTGATCATCACTACCACCTACAACTTCCTACAGATGAATTTCAAAATGTTGAAACTTGTCAGGATGGCAGTGAAAAAAGCAGCATTTGCCTTCATTCACCTGAACAGGAAGCTCTGGCAAATAGTAAACGGAGTGCTTTTTTATCCTCAGATGGAGTTAGTAAGAAATCAGAAGTCAAAGATCTTGGTCCCTTAGAAATCCACTTAGTACCATGTACTACAAAATTTCCAACTCCCAAGCCCAGAAAGGCACGGGCCGCACGCCTGTTACGTCAAAAGCACGTAGATGCTCCTAGTGAAAGTACTGAAGAACCAGAGAATTTAGACAGTAACTCTTCTTGTCTTTTTGAAGATAGTTTGAAAAACAATAAAATCAACATTATTTATCAGAATATTTTGTGTAACCAGGAACAGGTTGGCAAAGTGAAACCAGGAAATAAAAGTGAATTGAGTGTTGACTCCAACAGTGATGAACAGAACTTAGTTGATTCCCAGAAAGCCATGTGTCATGAAACAACTTCCTCTGAAAAAATGACACCACCTTTAGATACAGACTCTAATTTGACTTTTGACAGTAAGATAGTAGATGGTTCTAGTGTGTCACCTGCTATGAATGAAGGGACCAGTTTTATAAGATGCAGTACTCTATCTATGAGCCTGCCTAAGCAGCTGAAATTAGCCTGCAACAAACCTTTGCCTACTACCTGTAACCTAGGAGTGTCTGCCCCTCAGATACAAAAGGAATCTACAATAAAAGATGGAAGTTCGTCAAGAATTGTCCCCAAAAAACCTCAAAGACACAGCTTGCCTCCTGCAGGAGTGCTTAAAAAGGCTGCCTCAGAGGAGCTTGTGGAGAAAAGTTCTTATCCCTCAAATGAAGAAAAAAATTCAGACAAAAGTCCAGAAAGAAATCATGTTCGACAGTCGTGTGCCCAAAACCATGATATGTTGTCCTCCTTTGAAATGCCTAAACGGACTTCAGAAAAGCCAGTGTGGAAATTACCTCATCCTATTTTACCATTTTCAGGGAACCCAGAATCCTTAAAGTCTATCACCATATCCTCAAATAGTGAGCCTTCAACTGCCCTGACCAAACCTAGAGCAAAATCACTGTCTGCTATGGATATGGAAAGGTGCACTAAGCCTTGCAAAGATTCTCAGAAGAAAATCTCTTTAAAGAAGTTGCTCAGCATGAAGCTATCCATCTGTTTCATGAAGAGTGACTTCCAGAAATTTTGGTCCAAGAGTAGCCAACTCGAAGACTCAAGTGTTTGCAGCCTCTCAGGTGGGGAGGGAAAAGGGACTGAAAATGATTGGCATGGCTTGTTAGTAGAAGAGAGGAGAAATAAACCCATCAAGGCCCATTCTGCAGATAATTACAGCCTGGACTCCCAAAAGAAGAGGAAGAAGTCTCGGGGCCAGGATAGTACAACTAATGGACCAAGAGCAGAGTCTTTGGATGACCAAATGCTCTCTAGGGAGGCGGTATCTCAGGCACCTTGCAAATCTGTTCCAAGTGACTGTGCACCGGAATATGAAAATATACGCCATTATGAGGAAATACCAGAGTATGAGAACTTGCCATTTGTAATGGCTGGAGGGAAAACACCAGAGTTGGAAAGGCAGAACTCCAGCAGCATGGAGGACACCGATGCAAATGTATATGAGATTGAAGAGCCATATGAAGCTCCAGATGGCCAGCTGCAACTTGGACCGAGACATCCGCATTCCAGGTACCACTTAGGTGCCAGATAGACACTGCACATCTGCACTTCTACATGTGTCACTAAAATTAATATTTGACAACCCTATATAATAGGTAAAATCTCACATGTGGAGAAATATCACTTGGTGAGAAAGTGGATTAGTGAAGTATATATTAAATTATTTCAAAGTGCAGTCTCCTGTATCATATAGTCGGAATAGATAGTTGCAATGTTAAGCGTGAAATAGTTGACCTATCTTAGTAGCCAATTCAAAAAATTTGAACCAGTAGTAGTAGGGACCTAGGGAGGAACTGAACCAGAGAGGTCCCAGGGCCTCCAAGGCCCAACATGGAAGGTATAGCTGGAACTAATGGGAGGAAATGGGCCAATTAGCGAGCTTTATTTGCTAGGTGTAAAATATCTGAAGTTATTGAAATCCATGCATTTATTTATGGTGCCCTTGGTCAGATGAAACCTCTAAATTTGCAAAAGTTACTACTTTTTGAGGATTAGTTATTTTACTTGTTGAAGGTTAATTACTAACTTTAGGTAGATATAGGAAAAATGCAGGAAACACATTAATTATTCTCCTTTCTTTCACTTTTGTATAGGCACTTTTTACCCTTGATATACCCATTCCATTCATCTTATTGAAACCTTGCTCATCCTTGATGGTCTAGCTCAGCAATGATTGGCTTCGGGAAGCTTGTGTAGTTTCTTAGTGGGAAATGTTTACTTCCTATTCTGATCTCCCAGTTACGCTCTGCTGTTCTGACAGCCTTCCCCTCAATCTGTCTTACGGTATGATTACTTACTCGTTTGTCTGATATTCTGTGTTTTAAGCTCCATGAAGAAGTCTGGTCATACCTTTTTGTTGTGCATGAGTCCAAGCAGGGGCTTAATAGGGATCAGCAGATGTTGATTGGATACAAGAGAGAATGAATGAAAAAGAGGCAAAGGAATCAACCACTGCAGCTGCTTCCTGCTCTCTCCACAGTCAAAGGGAGCTTTTGCATTGTATTTTAAAGTGCTGTTTTTGTGTCTAACGCAAAGCTTATAGGCCTTTTTGGAAGTCTTCATACTCTTCTTAGGTCACTAACTTCAAGTTTCTGACTACTCAGATCTTAAAATGGGACGTTTGTAGAAATATTAATGTATGTGGTACCTAATAGGGGTAGAAAAAAGGATTATTGGTGAATGAGTAAATAAAATTATGTAATGAAATCTTAGTGCAAGTGAAATAAACTGTTCTATTAGATGTCCTAGCATTTTTCTGTACTCATAATCCTTTCTGCCCTTCCTCCTTTAACCCATAAAAGATGACTTACCTCCCTTACCTAACTTTTCTCATAGCTGATTGTATTTTGAACATTAGTACCCAGGCAAAAGCCTCTTCATTGTCATAAATATTTCCATAGAGAATTAGAGTTAGGTATCCAACTTGGAAAAAAAAACACATTTAACTTTTCACGCCTGCCCTTCTCTCATGGAACAATTTTGTTGGTATTGTCCTTTTAACATGCATTTGTATTGTGTGTGTGCGGTGGGGGGTGGGGTCTGAATTTGGCTTCTTTATGATATACTGCTATCCTTAGCTACGATGAATTTTTTTTGTCTTGAAATTGGAGACTTGGTCCTTGGTGTAAGTTTCCTGTTGGCCTTCATGTTTAAATCCCGAGAGTTTGTAATTTTCTCTAACACCAACTGTAAACTTCTGCAGCTTGTTCTTTATCTAATAATGCTTCTTATACAATGAGGAGTACTGTTGCTTGGCTCAGGGGAACCAGGTTGGAAGGGGTTAAAAACACAGCCAGCTAGGTCAGCTGGCTGGCATTCATAAAGAAGGGTTCTTTCTGGAAGCCACAGGAAACCAAGAGCTGCTGTGAACAGGTTGCAGGCGGTCAAGTAGGGCAGCCTCATGAAGAGTGGGTGAGCTCTGCCTTTGAATTTAGCTTTCCACAGAGGTTTTTCTTCAGGCCTCAAGCAGGGAGCCCTCAACAGGCTTAAGACTCCTGAAATGTGCCAGCTGAATCAAAGCCTGCAGTCATATGACCAGACTAACAGTTTTGCCTGCAAAATTGTCCCTTTTGTAAATAACGTTGAATAGATGAGAAAACAAAATCCAAGGCTTTGTGAGGAGGAGGACACTTGGACACCCTAAAATAAGGTAAATGAGAAGTACGTTGACAGGATCCAAGTTGAAATCTTGTTCTGTAGTCTGGCTGTTGAAACTGTAGACCTGTTCCTTAGAGTGATTAATTCAAAGTCCAACACCCTAGGATTCTAAAATGGTAAGAAAAATGCAAATGAACCCTGTTTAAGACTTTTCTGCTGGAGAAGTTGGAAGAGCATCTAACAGTTTCTCAGCACTCAGGGAAGAGAGTTTCGATCTTGCCTAGGGGACTAGTTTTTAGGGACTCACAGAGTCTACATAGATAAACAGATTCCAGGTCGAATGGATATTTGGAAAACTTGGGAGTCGCTGACCTCTAGAGTGTAGGTTTCACGGATCCAACAGCTTAACATTTATAAATTTTTAACAACACATTTATAATTTATCAGGAAATAATTATAAGCAGTCCCCAGTTCCAGATAGGGTTATGCTAGTCTAAAAGTGCGTGATAATTTGAAACTCGAAGTGTATTTCCCAAAGAAACAGTTTTGGCAATGAAGGTAAAAGTTCCAGTTTAGCCCTCAAGCTGCATTGACCGTTAGTGTCCTGACCTCTCCCCCTCTCTTCCTAGGTGCTTTCCTCCTCTCAGCACTTCTTTGGCCTGAGGCAGGAGAGTTGGCCAGGGTGGGGTTGAGCACCAGGATATCAACAGGAGCAAATCCACTAGGTCTGAGGCAGCAGGGTCTGTGGAAAGGGTGAGGTGACTAAAGAAGAATGAGGAAATTGCGGGGGGCGGGGGGTGGGGGGGGCTGGGCTTGCTGTGAGAAAGACTGTAAAGCACTGGGAGTGATAAGGAGAAAGGAAGGGCTGGGTGGTTTCGATTAGTAATCAGTGGATTTTCTTTCTCTCCTTTTCTCGTTATTCTTGTCCTTTTCCCTTTTCCCTTCCCATCCTCCTTTGCTAACTGCACCGTAGTGCTAATTGAGTTTCTGAGCCCTAGGCAAGAGTGAGTAGAAGAAGCTGGGGGAAGGCTGGATGGGGTAAGGAGTGGCACTGGGAAACCCCTGAGTGGGGGAGGAAGGCCAGCCAAACCTGAAAGTGAAGGGGAGGAAGGGGCATTTCCATGGCTGGAGAAGCAGTAGGTTTTAGGTGTTTGCAGTTGGATCATCATTCAGTCACTGCTCTGGGTTCTCAGAAGCACTTTTGTTAAAAGATTGTGAGCCACTCTGGAGTATTCTGGTGTGTTTTGGGTACAGTTATGAGCTCTCTTCCCCAAAAGGTTCCATTCATTATAAATCTAAAACAACTAGCCAGTAACAGGCCTTTTTCTGTCACTGCATGCAGGTGATTAGTGCTCAGTTCCTACTATTATTTAAGAAGTTCGATTTTCATAAGGAAGTTTCAACAATATGAGCCTTTATTAAAGAGTTATGGACAAATCAGAAATATGGTAATGTGCAAATGTTGGGATTTCCCTCTTGAAATTGTACCAGACTTCTTGGTTCTGTAACCAAGACAAATTTTCCCTGGAAACATTCCAAGTTTTTCCTCTGTTGTTTTTGTTTGTCCTTACTGGATGTAAGCACTGCAAAGAAAATGTATGGTAATTGGGTTTTCCTAGGTAACCCAGCAAGTCCTCAGTTTATTTATTCCAAAATATTGACTGTATGTTAAGCCGTGTGCATCCAAAGGTGAAAAAGGTTACCTACTCCCAAGGAGCTCCTGTTCAGTGAGGCGGCAGTCAATTAAAGGGCGACTTGGTTTTATTAATCCAAGGCTTGTTAGAGTTACACCCCAAAAGATGACTTCACAGAGGTGGTGACACTTGACCCAAGGCTGATAAAATGGACATGACTTGATTTGGCGTTTGGAGGTCATTTTGTAACCTTGACAAGAGCAATTTCATTGGTGTTGTGGGCAAAGAAAGCAGATTGCAAACAGAGGAGAACTGAGCAGAGAGAAAGTGGAATCAGCAAATGTGAATTGCTGTCCCTTGAAACTTTGCCCAGAAGTCTCCATCACTTAAAGGTTTGGATTTATCCTTCGGTTTTCCTCAAGCACTGGAATTCAGACTAAAACAAACTACAAAATCATTTCTTTTTAATAAATCAGTATGTCCTCGTCTCTGAAAAAGGAAAGTACTAAGTTTTTTGTTTTTACACAATTTTAAACACAAAACTGGGTTTAAAGAGCTGACAAATGGCATTACAAGTTGGCTCAAAATCTCATTATGGCATTTATGTTATAAATCATTAGTGCTGGTCTAGAAGATGTCTCTCTTGGGTTGCATCTACCATCTGGTGGTATTGTTGAATTTTAATAATGATTAAAGGGTAAATTAATAGCCCTACTGAACCTTTCTATGTTGTCATAACATAGATAAGATTATGCACAGTTAGAGAGTGGGGGTTGGGACCCATATATCTTAACAGCAGCCTTTTCCTGTGAGTTATTTTCAGCTTCAGCTCAGGAAATATCAAAAATTTGTATGACTCTTTAATTTTGTTTATTGTGTTGGAATCATAACCACAGAGTTTTGGTGAATATGTTTATATACTTACCCTACATTTTAAACTTTTCAAAATATTTCAACTAATTTGATTAGCAAGACAGAAATTGCTTTCTAATATGAGCTTTTAACCTATTAGAGAAATATTCCCAGTATGAACCTTTTGAAAAATAGCAGATGTGGGGGGACCTCATTCTTTCCCTAAGCATTTTTCATTCCTGCAAGGACCTGATAGGTGAAGATAATCAAATAGTCCATCAATCTGTGAATATTTTAAACCTCTAAGTAGAATGTTTGGAACTCAGAATGCATTTTTGAGATAGAAATAACTGTGAGTAGGAGTTAGGTTCCCAGCCAGCCCACAAGAACATACTTAGCTTCTAATATATGAAAAATACAATGGAA